CATTAATGTCATAATAAAAGTGGAGAGAAGTTTTTATTTTTCAAATTTCCATCGAATTGTATTATGATATTTGATGTACTGGGCCGTGTTTCCAATACATACACTAAAGAATCTCTTCACAAGCAGAACCAAACATGAAGGAGTAGTACTTTACGTACCAAATACCGTGCAAACTCATTCATCTGTACCGGCCGTTGCCCCTTCACGTGCATGAAGCTCCAAACGGAAACCCTAACATGTTATTACATTTAACCGAATTTGCTTAATTACTCCTTCGTTGGCTTTAAAGGACACATCATATACAAGATTCTATCATTGATAGATAACAAATACTAACACATTTTAGAATGATATAGAGTATGTGTGTGTGTGTGTGTGTGTGTGTGTGTGTGTTGGGGTGGGGGATTTAGAGACCGTATATATTTAGGTCAAGGGGGTGCCCGACCCTTTCGCTTCAGGTTGAAGAAATTTCAATGTGTAACCGGACGTATATATCACCTACAAATGTTTTTAGTAATATAATAAATATATTATTGAAAAGTATACCCTAATTGTATCCAAAATCCCCTCAAATTGGTTCCACCTGTAAATTCAAAATTTAATTGTGTGTAACATTATATAACATCATAGGTTTTACAATTTAATTTTTCTTAGTTGTATTTTAGAATCTCTTCGATTTAAAATTGAAAAACACTGTTTTTCCATTTCATCAATTTTGGTCCACACTGATTTTCTTTTTCATATATTCTTTTTCATATATGTTTTTCCATTTCATCAATTGTGCACAGTTGCATTAGTGCATGTCCACAGAGTCAACTTTCTCTCTATATAAAGCACAAAATCAAGTCTTCACTTCTTCACTCTTTCTCTCTCGGAGACGAAACTCACAAAACACATCATGGCCACTCTGACCTGCACAGCCTCCGACTTAGCCCCACTTCTCACCACCGCCACCACCGCCCTCAATGCCACTGCCCTCTCCGAATTCCTCTGCGGCCGCTTTAACACAATCTCCACCAAATTCGCTGACACCACCTACGCAGTCAACAACACTTACCTCCTCTTCTCCGCCTACCTTGTCTTCGCCATGCAGCTCGGCTTCGCCATGCTATGTGCCGGCTCCGTTCGTGCCAAGAACACCATGAATATCATGCTCACCAACGTCCTCGATGCCGCTGCCGGTGCCCTCTCCTATTACCTCTTCGGCTTTGCCTTTGCCTTCGGCGCTCCCTCCAACGCCTTCATCGGCCGACACTTCTTCGGCCTCCGAGACTTCCCCTCTGTATCCGGAGGAGACTACAGCTTCTTCCTCTACCAATGGGCTTTTGCCATAGCCGCCGCTGGCATCACCAGCGGCTCTATCGCGGAGAGAACGCAATTCGTCGCTTACCTCATTTACTCTTCTTTCCTAACCGGTTTTGTCTACCCGGTCGTGTCTCATTGGTTTTGGTCCGCTGACGGATGGGCCAGTCCAACCCGGCCCCATAACTTACTATTTGGTTCCGGTTCAATTGATTTTGCCGGTTCGGGTGTGGTCCACATGGTTGGAGGCATAGCCGGTTTATGGGGTGCCGTGATCGAGGGCCCGAGAATTGGCAGATTTGATCGAACCGGCCGATCTGTGGCCTTGCGTGGTCACAGCGCATCCCTAGTGGTTCTCGGTACGTTCTTGCTTTGGTTCGGGTGGTACGGGTTCAACCCCGGTTCATTTCTCACGATTTTGAAGAGTTACGGCGATGGTGGTACTTACTACGGTCAGTGGAGTGCCATTGGTAGGACAGCTGTCACAACGACATTGGCTGGCTGCACAGCCGCTCTCACTACCTTGTTCAGCAAGCGATTACTGGCGGGTCATTGGAACGTGCTCGACGTTTGTAACGGTCTGTTGGGTGGTTTTGCCGCGATCACCTCCGGGTGCTCGGTGGTGGAACCATGGGCGGCAATCGTGTGCGGGTTCGTGGCCGCATGGGTTTTGATAGGATGCAACAAGGTGGCGGAGAAGCTAAAATACGATGATCCATTGGAGGCTGCTCAGTTGCATGGTGGATGTGGAGCTTGGGGGCTGGTATTCACAGGGTTGTTTGCAACAGAAAAATATGTGAATGAGGTGTACTCCGGCAGGTCAGGACGGCCGTATGGGTTGTTTATGGGTGGTGGTGGGAGGCTGTTGGCGGCGCAAATTGTGCAGATTTTGGTGGTGGCAGGGTGGGTCAGTGCTACCATGGGCCCGCTGTTCTATGGGCTTCATAAGTTGAAGTTATTAAGGATCTCAAGGGAGGATGAGACTCAAGGGATGGATATGACAAGGCATGGTGGATTTGCTTATGTTTATCATGATGAAGATGATCCGTCCATTAAACCTGAGTTTATGATGCGGAGGGTTGAGCCTGTTAATGATGCCAGTCCTGCATAAGTGACTCCGTAATACATCTACACTACATAGTTATACTAAAATCAATCGTTCATACGTGATAAATTTCTACTTAGCAACCTAAGATGTGTAATGGTCACATATATAGTGAGTTTATGTGTAATGGTCTCACCAAGTAATATATGTTAGTAAGTTAAAATGACAAAGTTTGATTTCGCAAGCTCTGGGGAAGTTCTGATTTTTGTATATTTTATGAAGCTATATATATATTCACGGACAATACTTTATTTTCGAGAAGGAAAGTCCTCCTTCCTCATTAACGTGGCATCATTTCACCATATAATATGGATATATAAGTCGGGATCTTTCATTTTCTTTATAAGGGCCATCTCTAAAAAATTAATTAATTGGAGACTATTAGCCATCTATATATGTCATACAAATCGACAATTATGATAACAAGTAATAGTATGTCATTAATCTAGTGTTTGTAAGTATTTTTGGAAATTATTGAACGTTTAGACCTCACTTAGTGAGAAAACGCTTTGTTGTTATTGTTGTATTGAACGTTTAGCATCAAAGTGTTGATGCGTCATGCGGGCATGTTGTTAGAGTTATATCATTGGTAGATTTGTAATTAAGTACTAACCCTTTACTATATTTGTTTGAGTAATGCTAAGGAGACTAAATTTAGAAAACTAAAGGACATGAAAGTTAATGATTGGTTTATTACTTAAGTGTTGATAGATGTGCTCATTCTTATTGGTGACACATCATTTAGTTTGCAAATTTAGTCTCTCTAAGATTATCCTATTTGTTTTTGCGTACTTATTTGACCAAGTATTCGTAATTAACTTGAATAATGACACTAATTAGTTAAATAATATCATTGATTTTTTTTTTCTTAGTCTCAGAAGTCAGAAATATAGATATTCGTAATGGTATTTTCTAGATACACGTTACGGTTCGCATTGAATGGCCAAAGAACTTGGCTCTTCGAGATCACAATAGTTTCTAGCTACACGTTGACTTGCTTGTTTTCTTTTGGTAGTTTGGAATCCTCAATTCTACGATTTAAATATCATAATACAACTTAATTAAACTAGAATCTAAATATGAGAATGTAACATGTAATTTACTCTTTTATTTATTTTTTATAATTAAATAATTATGATATTTTATATGTAGATATTTTCAATTAATGATTAAAAACACTTTTTTAATTTCTCAAACATCTCCGCTTAATTCTTAGTATTGTTTTAATTTTATTTATTCAATCTGATAATAAGAAATATATGTGTGTGTGCGTGCGTGCTGTTCAAGGAGGATAAACTATGTGCATTCTATTTGGTGTACCTAAATGAAGTCGGATAATATCTAATGATGTCGGTCTTTTGCAAGAGTATCTGACAATCAAGGCGGTCAAGACAGCCCTGTTCAATTAAGCTTTCTCCTTTGTAAGGAGATAAATATGGAGGCATATACCATACATACATATGAATGCTGCATACAATGAACGTTAGTATAGGGCATGGCTACAGCATTTTATCTTTAACTATTAGAGGAATTGATTCCCAAATTCGTGCCTGCTATAGACAACTCTCTGGACTGTGATCAAATGTCCGATTGGGCAACTTTGTCTGTCAAATTCTCAATGCAAGTTTCAACATTCTCTTACACAGAATTTTATCTTTAATGATTAGATGCTGAATTAGAATGGAATAGGAAGACTTTGTGAGTACTTATAATTCCAAGAGATGAGCCAATCATCACTTTGCCATTTACCTCAGTAGCCATTTGAAGCATATACCAGTACTTTTGCTTTAATCTACCAAAACAAAGCGTTTTAGGGCTACTTTGGTATTGCTGTGCTTTTTAAAAAAATTGATTTTGTTATACTGTAAGAATAAACCGTTGTAATAATTTTTTTTTTTTTTGTAAAAGTGCTTTTAACAAAAAAAAAAAAAATAGTGTCTGAGTGTTTGATAAACTTTTATATAAATTGGTGTACATATGTTAAATGACTGAAAAAGATATGGTATTTAATGTGATATAATAATTGTTAAAGAGAATAATGTAGGGGCAATGATTGCAATTTTGTAAAATATGTGGGGTATACTTGCCATTTGAAAATTTTCATTAAATGGGCATTGAGTACTATACTTTAAAAAAAAAAAAAAAAATATTAGAAGCATGCATGGTAGACCTTACTTCTGCATTTCTATTGTCATTTACAACAATTTTTTTATAATTTTTTTTATTTTTTTTTGTTTTACAAAACACATTTGATGTTCCAGATATTTTAATAAGCTGGTTTTTTTTTTTTTTTTTTTAAAGCATCACAATCCCCAACCTGTCCTTAGGCAAAACTTATGAATCTCACTAAGATGCACTTAATGCTAAAACATGGCCTTAAACATATGAAATCTATCGTTTCGTCATCAGTATATATCTTGACTAGAAAACATCCATCAATAAATATAGCAATTAGAAAAATAATTTTAGTTTTCTTTTGGGGCCGTAATCAGCTTTTCGGGTAAATATACTTGCCTGTAACAACCTTACTTGTCTTTCGTGGGAGCTAGCTCAGGGCATCCAAAACATCCCGGAGAGTTCATTGCAGTATGCAAATGACAATGCTTTGATGCTGGCTATAAGGTGCTCGAAAATAATCCGGCCCATACTTGTAGCCGTTATTTTCTGTTTAAACCTAGTGCTGCATACTAACATATGAAAATCTCCGAATGCAGTCCTTGACGGGCGCTCTGCTTGCTGTCTGCTATTCATCAGCGTTATTGTCTGCTTTTACTACTGTCGGACTTCTCTTACTCGGAAGACAACTCAAGTCACCAAACGACAAGTGAGCTTCCTCGTGTCCTGCATCCCTCGGTTTTGCCTTTACCTCTCTCTGTATATGCAGAAGTCTATCGATGTATTTTATAATAGAATTGCCTGATGTAAGTGGAATTTAAATGTTGCTCAATAACAATCTCAAGAAGTGCATAAGAAGAATTTTTGTTAACAAAACAACCGTATCATGTAATTAACTCAGAATAATGTACAAGGTTGAGACCTGTTAATGCTGATTGTTGTTTACTTTTATGAATCCGGATCCTCGTCGGATCCTCTTTGTGAGGATCCCGGAGATCCATGAATCGTATCCCAACTTTTTAATTAGCTACTAAAGAAAGTAAAGCAGTTGGAATACTCGGCTAGTGATTCAATTGATTAACATGTAGTTGACAAAAAATACCTAGCACTAGCAGGAGAGATTTTTTTATTATATCGGAAACATGACCCAGTACATTGTCGTAATAAAAGTGGAGAGAAGTTTTTATTTTTAAAATTTCCATCAAATTATATTATGACACTTAATGTACTAGACTATATTTCCGATACACTGAAAAATCTCTTCACTAGCCGTACCAAACATGAAGGAGGAGTACTTTACGTACCAAATACCATGCAAACTCATTCATCTGTACGTACCGGCCGTTGCCCCTTCACGTGCATGAAGCTCCAAAGGGAGAAACCCTAACATGTTATTACATTCAACCTAATTTGCTTAATTACTCCTTCGTTGGCTTTAAAGGACACATCATATACAAGACTCTATCATTGATAGATAACAAATACTAACACATTTTAGAATGATACAGTGTGTGTGTGTGTGTTGGGGTGGGGGATTTAGAGGGTATATATTTAGGTCAAGGGGGTGCCCGACCCTTTCGCTTCAGGTTTAAGAAATTTCAATGTGTTATCGGACGTATATACCACCTAATAATGTTTTTAGTACGATAATAAATATATTATTGAACATTGTACCCTAATTGTATCCAAAATCCCCTCAAATTGGTTCCACCTGTAAATTCAAAATGTAATTGTGTGTAACATTATATAACATCATAGGTTCTACACTTTAATTTTTCTTTGTTGTATTTTAGAATCTCTTCAATTTAAAATTGAAAAATAAAGTGTTTTTCCGTTTCATCAATTTTGGTCCACACTGATTTGCTTTTTCTTATATTCTTGCCCACCATAATAGCACAGTTGCATAATTGCATTAGTGCATGTTCTCACCGTCGATTTTCTCTCTATATAAAGCACAAAATCAAGTCTTCACTTCTTCACTCTTTCTCTCTCTCTCTCGGAGACGAAACTCACAAAACACACCATGGCCACTCTGACCTGCACAGCCTCCGACTTAGCCCCACTTCTCGCCACCGCCACCACGGCCCTCAATGCCACTGCCCTCTCCGAATTCCTCTGCGGCCGCTTTAACACAATCTCCGCCAAATTCACTGACACCACCTACGCAGTCGACAACACTTACCTCCTCTTCTCCGCCTACCTTGTCTTCGCCATGCAGCTCGGCTTCGCCATGCTATGCGCCGGCTCCGTTCGTGCCAAGAACACCATGAATATCATGCTCACCAACGTCCTCGATGCCGCTGCCGGTGCCCTCTCCTATTACCTCTTCGGCTTTGCCTTTGCCTTCGGCGCTCCCTCCAACTCCTTCATCGGCCGACACTTCTTCGGCCTCCGAGACTTCCCCTCTGTATCCGGAGGAGACTACAGCTTCTTCCTGGGCTTTTGCCATAGTCGCCGCTGGCATCACCAGCGGCTCCATCGCCGAGAGAACGCAATTCGTTGCTTACCTCATTTACTCTTCTTTCGCAACCGGTTTTGTCTACCCGGTCGTGTCTCATTGGTTTTGGTCCGCTGACGGATGGGCCAGTCCAACCCGGCCCGATAACTTACTATTTGGTTCCGGTTCAATTGATTTTCCGGTTCGGGTGTGGTCCACATGGTTGGAGGCGTAGCCGGTTTATGGGGCGCCGTGATCGAAGGCCCGAGAATTGGTAGATTTGATCGAACCGGCCGATCTGTGGCCTTGCGGGGTCACAGCGCATCCCTAGTGGTTCTCGGTACGTTCTTGCTTTGGTTCGGGTGGTACGGGTTCAACCCCGGTTCATTTCTCACGATTTTGAAGAGTTACGGCGATGGTGGTACTTACTACGGTCAGTGGAGTGCCATTGGTAGGACAGCTGTCACAACGACATTGGCTGGCTGCACAGCCGCTCTCACTACCTTGTTCAGCAAGCGATCACTGGTGGGTCATTGGAACGTGCTCGACGTTTGTAACGGTCTGTTGGGTGGTTTTGCCGCGATCACCTCCGGGTGCTCGGTGGTGGAACCGTGGGCGGCAATCGTGTGCGGGTTCGTGGCCGCATGGGTTTTGATAGGATGCAACAAGGTGGCGGAGAAGCTAAAATACGATGATCCATTGGAGGCTGCTCAGTTGGATGGTGGATGTGGAGCTTGGGGGCTGATATTCACAGGGTTGTTTGCAACAGAAAAATATGTGAATGAGGTGTACTCCGGCTGGTCAGGGCGGCCGTATGGGTTGTTTATGGGTGGTGGTGGGAGGCTGTTGGCGGCGCAAATTGTGCAGATTTTGGTGGTGGCAGGCTGGGTCAGTGCTACCATGGGCCCGCTGTTCTATGGGCTTCATAAGTTGAAGTTATTGAGGATCTCGATGGAGGATGAGACTCAAGGGATGGATATGACAAGGCATGGTGGATTTGCTTATGTTTACCATGACGAAGATGATCCATCCATTAAACCTGAGGTTATGATGAGGAGGGTTGAGCCTGTTAATGATGCCAGTCCTGCATAAGTGACTCCATAATACATCTACACTACATAGTTGTGCTAAAATCAATTGTTCATGCGTGATAAATTTCTACTTAGCAATCTAAGATGCGTAATGGTCGCATATATAGTGAGTATATGTTTCATTACTGTTACTGTTAGTGCATAACATGCATGCATTATGCACTATGCATTTCCAAGTTCTATATATGTCTCTCACCAAGTAATATATGTTAGCAAGTTAAGATGACAAAGTTTGATTTCGCAAGCTCTTGGGAGGTTCTGATTTTAGTATTTTTTTTTGATGAAGCATTTGCGGACAATATTTCATTTTCAGGATCCTCTTCTAATCTAAGGATGAGGATTCTCATGATCAAGAGATGTGGACCGTTGGATAAAAATCCAACGACCCACATCCCTTGGTCATGAGGATCCTCATCCTTAGATTAGGAGAGGATCTTGGTCCCAAGAAGGAAAGTTTTCCTTCTTCATTAATGTGGCATCATTTCACCATATAATACGGATATATAAGTCGGGATCATTCATTTTCTTTATAAAGGCCATCTCTAAAAAATTAATTAATTGGAGACTATTAGCTGGGCCTAGCAATTCCTGACAAGACCCGATAATCTGACATGACACGATACGAAATTAACAGGTGTTAGGGTCTATACGATAACGAATCGGGTCGTTATCAGGTAACCTGATAAGCACCCGTTAAGATAACGGGTTGGTTCAGATATATACGTGGGTAACACGATACACGATAAGCAAAATATTAATTTTATAATTTTATAACCCTAAAAAAAATACTATAATAATTATATACATTAATATAACAATTTTATACCCCTAAAAACTATAATAATTATATATATATATTAAATTAAATATTAAAAATTGGTGACCGTTGGATCGGCTTAAATATACATACCATTCAATTTCTTAAGTGTTATACATACAAAATAAATAAATTTAAATCTACTTAATAAATATATATATATATACACACACACCATTGAACTTGATGGGATACGAATTATACGAAACTAATTTCAACGATCCAACCGTCAAACTTATTTGTATATGCTTCAAGATCGCATCAACAAAAAATCGCAAAAAAAAAAAAAAAAAAACATTCATAAATCAAGTAACGGGACAAAACTTTTCGACGGTTATCAACGAAAAATCACGATTTAACGGCTATTTTAACTTCGATTTTGATGATTTTTTTACAGTTACACTTCTTGACCCTATAAGAATACGGTGAATGAACTCGATCTTCAATTTAAAATATTTACACTAGTGGATACCACAAAATCTTATGTTATACTAAATGATAGTATGAATAAACTCTTAAGTGTTAGTGAATCTATTGTTTTGATGGGATATGCATTCTATGAAACTAATTTCAACGATCCAACCGTCAAACATGTTTGTATATGCTTCGAGATCACATATGCTAAAAATTGCAAAAAATAAACATTCACATATCAAGTAACGGGACAAAACTTTTTGACAGTTATTAACAAAAAATCACGATTTAATGGTTATTTTAACTCCAATTTTGATGATTATTTACACTACACACCTTAACCCTATATGAATACAATGAATGAACTCGATCTTCAATTTAATATATTTGCACTAGTGGATACCACAAAATCTTATGTTATACTTAATGAAAGTATGAATAAACTCTTAAGTGTTAGTGAATCTATTGTTTTGATGAGATACGCATTTTACGAAACTAATTTCAACGATCCAATTGTCAAACATATTTGTATATACTTTGAGATCGCATACATCAAAAATTGCAAAAAACAAACATTCAGAGATCAAGTAACGGGACAAAACTGTTCGACGATTATCAACGAAAAATCACGATTTAACAGTTATTTTAACTCCGATTTTGATGATTTTTTACAACTACACTCCTTAACCCTATATGAATACAATGAATGAATTCGATCTTCAATTTAAAATATTTACATTAGTGGATACCACAAAATCTTATGTTATACTTAATGAAAGTATGAATAAACTCTAAGTGTTAGTGAATCTATCGTTTTGATGAGATACGCATTCTACGAAACTAATTTCAACGATCCAACCGTCAAACTTGTTTGTGTATGCTTCAAAATTGCATACGCCAAAAATCGCAAAAAACAAACATTCAGAGATCAAGTAAAGAGACAAAACTGTTAGACGATTATCAACGAAAAATCACGATTTAACAGTTATTTTAACTCTGATTTTGATGATTTTTTACAACTACACTCCTTGACCCTATATGAATACAATGAATGAATTCGATCTTCAATTTAAAATATTTACATTAGTGGATACCGCAAAATCTTATGTCATGATGCTCGATGAAAATTGAGGATTTTGTAAAATGAATAACATGCAAGCTTTGAGTTCCATTGGCAAGGTTTAAATTTTTTAGAAAGGCTTCACAACCTTGAAAACAAAAGCTCTTTCATTTTGCATATCCTTGCACATTTAATACTTTGTAATATACTAGTAGTGTATGAATGTTTGTTTATTAGACTCTTATTTTTTAGTGTAGATGTAGTACTTAAACGACATATGTTTTAATATTTTGAAGTAATATTTATGTGGCAATGTGTGGTATGTGCAAATTTAAGAAAAGAAAATACTTTTCTTAACGGATCATAACGGGTGTGACATGACACGATCCATTATGATAACAGGTGTTACACGAAAATGATACGAACACGATAGACACGACCTGTTTGTCAGGCCTACAATTAGCCATCTATATATGTCATACAAATCGACAATTATGATAACAAGTAACATTCTCATAAATTGTCAATTCTTTTATTCATATATATATAATTAAACTGTCTCCAAATCGACAAGGAAATGGGATCTCACCAATGTGCAATTGATTTTCAAATGCATATCAAAGGGGTTTCTAGGCCATGGACATCTAAACAGTGCTTCTAGCTAGCAATCACTTTCACTTCAATACCCGTTGCTATGTCTAGCCAAACGAGATTATAATACTAATAGTACGTCATTAATCCAATGTTTGTAAGTATTTTTGGAAATTATTGAATGTTTAGACCTTAATTAGTGAGAAAAAGCTTTATTATTGTTGTTGTATTGAACGTTTAGCATCAATGACACGCCCCAACCCCGATATCCCTACATACCAGGGTAGGCATGTGCTGACCCACAACCGAGGGTGACGAAGCCATTTTGAACTTGCTTACCAATGAAATTATTACTAAGAAAAGATATGAACAAGGAAATGATATCTATACTGAGAAGACTCGAGGATAACTAAATCGAAGTGCCCTGAAGCAAGGATTATATGCCTCGATCCTAATTCCTGAAGGGGGTGCAAAACCAGAAAAGGTGAGTGGATCATAGTTTCTAATAATACTAATAATAGGAAAATATTTTATTTCTGAACATGGTAACCCCCTGTTTTGAAAACATATATAATACTACATATAGGTTTTATGAAAACCTTAACATGCCACGCAAAACCTTCGTAAAACATGTACGTGTAAAACCATACTAAAAAATGCTGAAAACATTGCCCGAAGGCAAATCTGTAAATCTCATTAGTGAAGTACTCAACTAGGGGTATCATAGTCATCCGAAAGCAGTACCTGTCCATCACCTGAAGGTGAAGCTGAATAAAATAGTTTAACATCCACACCGACACTAGCCATGGCTAGTGAAGCTGTCCGACATCGCTTTCGGTGGTGAAGCTGGGGGTATATAATATATCATATCTCATTCCTCCATCATCTGTGTCCTATGACCATAGACAATACGAGTGGTGTGCGGATGTGCCATATGATAACCCACTAGGTAAGCACTAAAAATGTATTTCAAAATCTCGTATCATAAATCCATGACAAATCATGTTCACACATCTATAAAATAAATCATCTTCGTAACTTCATAATATAAGTCATATTCGAGATCAATAAAAATCCATATATGCAAATCCCATAATTCACAACCGTTCATAAATGTAATTTCAATAAAATCATGAATATTCCGTAAAAGCAATTAAACCATGAATTTGATATAAACCATAATTATATAAATCCGGAAAACATAATTTAAAACGTATTAAATGCATGAATTATGAAATGCATGCTAGGCTAATATTTTATAAAAATATTTAAGTTAGGAAGGGGTTCACTCACAGATTTTATTGCCCGAGAACTGCTCGAACTAGCAAGGATGACGTTACATCTCGCCAACACACCTAAACACAATTAGGAACCATTTAGTAAAACTCATCGAATTTTCTGGAATTTTTCCATATTTTTCGTCCAACTTTGAGAGCTCATTCCAAGCTCGATACAAGCCAAAATCGAGTGATTCAAAATCTAAAATGTATTCAGGAATGTGGAGAAGAGATTCATACCCTTGGATGGCTCGAAGGAATATGGGGTTGGCCGGAAAAGTGTCTAGAATATGGCCAAACAGTCACGGTTTTGAATTTCCAGATTTCTGGAAAAATGCTTCCTGAGGTGTAATTCGTGCTAAAACCTTCACCAAAATCATTTTTAATCGTCAATAAAGTGATCTAGCCTACAGGAGAGGAATATAGGAGGAGTTTCGAAGCTCACCTTCACTGGAGACGGCGGTACATTGTCGGAAATGGATGCACAATTACTGTGTCGTGCACGAGAAGAGAAAGAGTGAGTGTTCTTGTCCCAGTCACTAGTTGGGGAGGGAAGCTGCTTGAAAGTGATGAATGCCGGAGTGATAAGGCGATCGTGGTGGTGATTAAAGGCTGCACGAGAAGAAGAAATTAGGGCTGAGGGGGTGATTTTATGTGTTTGTTTTGGCTGCAGCTGGAGTGAAGGAATGGTCACGGTAGAGAAGAAGATGATGAGGGAGATAGAGGGAGTGGAGCGACGGTGCCGGCCAAGAGGGAGAAGAAGTGAGATGTGTGTGTCTGATGGAGTGACAGAAAAGAAGAAATAGGCACGTAAAATGGGTCACGGGATGGGACCTGGCTTCCGTTTCAGTTTCATATACTCTCATTTTCTTCTATTTGTGAGATCACGATTAAGCAACGTCAACATTTTATATCACTATTTTTTCTTTCTTATTATCTCTATA